AGCGCCACTTCGTCGTTGATGTCGACCGGTACGTGCGTCAACGGTCGAGAATTCACTGTGTTCTCTGCTTCTGTCAGGAGCGTTGCCAACGTCTCCTCCCGTGGGCTTTTCTGATGTAGAGTGGCTTCGAGTGCGGTCTTCACTGAGTATACGAGACGCTCCTATGCGCTTCCCTGGTTAGGCGCACCCGGTGCGATGAATTTCCATTCGATTCGCCGAGTCAGCGCGTAATCCTTCAGCTGCGGTGTTCACTCTTCCATCGCCCGTTGCGGTTCTGTATTTGCCCCATGAAAGTTCGTGCCATTGTCGGAGTAAATAACCCGTGGCCACCCACGCCTAGCCGCCATGCGCCGCAATGCCGACATCGCCGAGTCCGCGATCAGAGAGTAAACTATTTTTAAATGCACTGCGCGCGTCATTACGCACGTGAATAGTGCCATCCACCGTTTTTCGTGCCGTCGTCCTATCGTAACTGTCAGAGGCCCAAAATAATCGATTCCGGTGTACATGAATGGTCGCGCAAACCCCCCTAACCGTTCGGGTGGTAAATCGCCTGTAACCGCAGGCCGTGGTGTCTCCTTCCGTACTCTGCACCGTAGGCATCTCCGCTCCGCTTCTCGTACGGTAGGTCGTAATCGGAGGATATGAAACCTAGTGCGTAGGTCGTTCACCACTCTCTCTCTATTGGCGTGGCTTGCTTCCTGATGCGCCTTCTCCACAAGCACTTTTACGAATTGGTGGCGTCCGTTCAATATGATGGGTCTCTTCATTTGGCCGTCCACGTCGGCTGCGTCGATCCTTCCCCTGGCTCGTAGCACTCCATCTTCCAATATGGGGTCGAGCTTCCTCAGTGCGCTGCCGGTGGCCAAATTCTTTCCCCGCTGAAGGCGGCTGATGTCTTCAGCGAAGCTTTCACGTTGGCTATTTTCTATCCACATCCGCTCTGCCCTCTGGATGTGCTGCAATGTCAATCCTTGCGCCCTTCCTCGTGCCGTATCGACAAACTGTAGTACTCGTGCTGTGGCCCTGATCAATCTCTCGTAAGCAGAGAATCGTTCTATGTCTGGCAGATGTGGAGCGTCCTGGGTGTCACTCTGGTGCGCCACGATTTCCTCCAACTCTCCATCATCCCCTGCCTTCTCTTCCTGTCGGTGAGGCCATCTGTCTTCGTTCTCGTAAAGGAAGGGCGGTCCTGTAAACCACTTATCGCTTTCTTCTTTGGTTGCGAAATTCATACGCGTTGCTTGATCCGCTACGTTTTCCGCAGTTGGTATCCACCTACATTGCTCGAATGATGTCTTCTCAGCTATCTTCCCTAACCGGTGAGCCACGTATGGAGTGTAACGCGCCGTATCATTCTGTATCCAGTGGAGCGCCGTAGTAGAGTCCGTCCAATATACGACCCTATCCGCTACCACTCTGTGTTCGCCTTGCACGAATTCCGCGAGTCGCGCGCCTATTAAGTTCGCCTGCAACTCTAATCGCGGTATACTTTGCGCCTTGATCGGAGCGACTTTCGCCTTAGCTGCCACTAATCGCACCCTAACCGTTCCGTCGCTGTATCGTATTCGCCAATATGCCGCGGATGCGTACGCACGTTCGCTTGCGTCGTTAAACACGTGAAGTTGACGCTCTACCACTCCTCCCGTAGGAGCATAGCACCTTGGCAGTCACAGTCGTGACACCTCTTCGACGACTCGCAGCCACCTCTAAAATTCTTCTGCTGCCTCCTCGGGTAGTTCGTCATCCCATCCGATCTTCTTCATACGCCATAGGTCTTGTAGCAGGATCTTGGCGGTGATGGTGAGGTAGCTTAGCAGTCCGAGCGGGTCAAACACAGACATAACTGCGCTTAATGCTTCCCTCTTGGTCGGTGGTCGCTGTAGCGCCTTTACTTCCTGCGGCACCCTATTCATCGATGTGTTGAAAGTTAGGGCGTCTTCGTCGGCCATCCATAACAACCCTAGGGTTCTGCCTGGGCTGTCTTGCCTTAAGCCTACTTCCTTAGGCTTGCGCGCCAGTAATTCCTCCAGCTTGTCTTCCAATAGGGCTGCGTGATTAGAATTCCATCCTGCCAAGGTGAAACCGGCCTTCTGGTGTACTTCCGAAACCTGCCTTGCCGTATTTACCGCTTCCTCTACCGTTGCATAACTGTCTAAATAGTCGTCCATATAATGGCTACGTACGATAGCGTTAAGTGCCAACGGGTGTGTCTCTGCGTGTGCGCGCGCGTTATAATCTCTAACACTATGTGCGAGAAACGACGAGCTCCTCTCGCCGAAAATCATCGACGTCATAACGTACTCCCGCGGTGGGCTGTGTCGCTCGTTTCCTCGCCAGAGAAACAATTGCGCGGGTTGGTCGCGACGGTCGATTTTCACACGCAAGAACATTTGCGGACGCTGTAGCGGGAGGGGAGTGGGTCTGCATAATTAGCTGCCTCACGAATAAAATGATTAGAATGCGACTCTGAGGCTTTGAAGAAGTTCTCAAAGAGTTTTTTAATGAATTGTTGGATTGTAGGGAGCTCTAAGTCCCGATAAAGGTCGGCATTACGGACGTACCAAGGTGCGTTCGTAGCTCGACGACAGAAGAGGTTTTGAACTACTTGGAGTTCATTAATAGTTTTAGGGTCAGCGTGGGCAAAAATGGGGCCCGCGTAGGACATGACTGGTCGTATACAGACCTTATAAAGGGTATGCTTGTTTCTGGGGGACATTTTACTGTGTCGGCCCAACATACTTTTGAGCCTACCCAGGTAAAAACGTGCGTGACGGGTTACTGTTTTGACGTGGGACCTGAAAGTGAGTCTCGTGTCAAGGGTGACGCCTAAATATTTGGCAGTCGTATGCCAGGGGACAGGGGTCCCTAGCATACGTATTGGTGGAGTGTTTTTGAGTAGGCGTCGTTTATAATCGAAGTGAACGGCGGAGCTCTTCTCCGGGTTCACATCGATGCGCCATTTTTTGAACCAAACTCCTAGGTCATCAACTGACTTTTGGATCTTGTTCCGTATGAAAGGTAGCGAGATACCTTTACAGTATAGGGCAGTGTCATCTGCGAAGAGGGAGAGCTGAACACCTTTCGACGGGATGGGAATGTCGTTGGGGAACAAAATGTACAGGAGAGGAGCAAGTAATGAGCCCTGAGGGACACCAGCTTTGATGGGGCGCTGAGAAGATAGCGTGCCTTCGTGTCTAAAACGAAAGGTACGATGCTTTAGATAAGAGGCCACGAGTCGTACTAGACGATCGGGGAGACCTATTTTGTATAATTTGTAGATAAGGCCTTCATGCCAGACTCTATCAAAGGCTTTAGCTATATCGAAAAAGACCGCGATGGTCTTATGACGACGAGGATAAAAACCGCTGAGGATATATTCCACAATACGGTGAACTTGTTGGGGACAAGAGTCTTTCGCTCGGAAACCGAATTGATAGGGGATGATATGAGGGTCACCCTCTGTGGGAAATAGATGGCGCCTTATGTGAGTTTGGATGACTCTTTCGGAGAGCTTGCCCATGGCCTTGAGGAGGCTAATGGGGCGATGACTGGAGGGGAGGTTGAGAGGCTTGCCTGGCTTGGGAATACCAATCACAGTTGCCTCTTTCCACGTAGTGGGAAAGTAACTAAGGTTGAAGCAGGCATTGAAGATAATCCCCCCCGAACGGGTTCCCGCCTTGTCGTGGCGGGGGGGCTTAGTAGCCGTGGCTTGGTCACCCACGGTGAACAAAGAGGAACCCCTTGGCTGGCCCGTGGTGTAGGGCCGGCCCGAGGTGGCCACTCCGAGTGGGCTTGGGAAGCCCACTTCGGATGTGTGTCGGGGGGCTGCGGTGAGAGGGGAGTCCGTACCCTCTACCGCTGCAGCCGAGGTGGAGTCGCGGAGGAAGAGGAGTGTTGGTATGGCGATGCGCCACTCGCCCTATCCTCCGCGACTCAAACGGGGCCGCACCGTTGATGCGGTGGTGGTGGGGCCGCGGGGGGAGAGGAGTGTCGGTATTGCGAGGCGCCGCTCTCCCTACCCTCCGCGGCCGAAACTTGGTTGGCGGCGGAGCCCGAGACCAGATCCGCCGCTGGGGCCGGGAAGGCTGGTGCTTCTGAGTGCTAGTTTTTCCTGGCCCCATGGCCTTCGCGCATCGGACACGGGGGCGTCCGTTGCGCATTAGAAATTGGAGGCCGAGGAGGAGGGCGCACCATGTGTTCTGGTGCGCCTTACCTGAGAAGGAGATGGGGGAGGAGTGTTCCTCTCCCGAGGAGGGGCCGCCATGGGGCGGCCAGCGCAGGTGGGGCCGCGGAAGTGTGCGAAAGCGTTCCCGTGGCCCTGCCAATATGCGACGAGGGTGGAACACCATGGGGTTTTAGTCGGTGCGAGTCCGACATAACCCGTTCTTGCCCCCGCGAGGCGGGTATGCGTAGGCATTTCCCCATGCAAAAAAAAAAAAAAAAAAAAAAGGCATTGAAGATAATAGATAAAAGGGTTAGCACCTGCTCAGGAAAGTGTTTTAGGGCTTGGTTGGAGATGCCATCAGCGCCCGGAGCCTTTTTAGGCTTAAGTCCTTTGATGAGGGATGAAATCTCATCATTGGACACAGAGATTGGTTCGGAGGCTGTAGGGGGTGAGTTCAGGCGGCGGACCTCATCCTCCACTGCCTGGACGTGTGAGGGGTCGACGGGTTGAGAGCTAGGAGAGCATTAAGCGGCAAAGCTGTCTGCAAAGCACTCAGCCTTTTCCTCGTCCTCGAAGGCTACCTTACCGTCGGGACGGGAGAGAGGGGGAGTGTGGGTGATAGCGTCTATGCGGAGGGCTCTTGCCATCTGATAGTACGCTGTATGAGAGGGAGAGATATTCTCCATGAGCTTACTCTTTTCGAGGTCTCGAACAGGCCCGTGACAGCTTAGTTCCATTTTATGCAACTTGGCGCTACCGTCGCAAATTTGTTCTCTGCCTACGGACGCCATTTTGAGCATGTTGACACGCCATATTGTGTTAATGTCAAATCATATTGTCAAAAGTCAAAGTTATCGATATTGATTGATTGCCGCCATTATTTATCCGAATTTTCCTAAGTTATTACAATATTCTGTTTTTGTGCTGCTCGTGTGAATATTGCATATACCAACATAATGGTATACAAAAAGTGTTGTGTTGGTGGTTGCAATACAACACATGAAACGCACCGGATTTTCAGTTTCCCTAGGAACGATAATTTAAGAAATTTATGGATGTCTTTCATAGTGCCGACAAATCCCCAGCTCATTGCACTTTCCAAAGAACAGTTACTTAACAAACATGTCTGTGAAAAACATTTTGATATATTTCAGTTCGACAATGAAGGCAGAAGACTTCGATACTCTTACCCGTCCTTGCTTACTGACAATGAAATAGCTCATGGTGTGCCTCTAATTGCAACAGGTGAGTTATTTTATTACTTTCAATCATGGTACTTAAGACGTCTCTATACATTCTTGGGCCCAAATGTTAACAAGATGAAAGTACGTATAATAAAGCGTATATATAAACAATTCATAGCTGAAAATCTGGCAAGATTTGTCAATCTAGGAACTTATTGTAAGGAAGTTATTGTAGAATAAGTAAAAGTGAGATTATCTATTGGCTACACTGTAACAGGTGATTTTTCACTATTATTACACAGTAACAGGCTATTTTTCGCTATAATTACTTCAATATTTAAAAGCAGGATCATTAAAAAATCACCAAAAAAGCTGTGGTTAATAATGAAACGAAATGGTCAAACGATTAATGAAAGTTAAAACAACAACAACTAAGTGAAGTGAATATTAGGAATTCTGATCTTATAGATGTGCCAACTTAGAAAATTTTGACTTGACTTAACTCGAGTTGAAATTCACGCAACTTGAGTTAGCAGTACGAATCAGAGTAAATGATTTGTTACAAATTACTTTTTTATAAATTTGTTTTTCTATCTAGCTCTTTGATGGGTTGAGATAATTATAATTTCCTTTTTTATATCTATTAAAACTTATTATGTAGGATTGATATGAAAAGGTATATTTAGTATGTATCATATACTTATGTATTAGTCTAGCTTTAAGATGTAGGTACATAAGCTATTACTAGTTTAATTACAAAAGGTTGAAGTTTAAAGTCAAAATATTCTTAAATAAATTCAATATATTTATTGTGAGTTAAGTGTTACATTTGGCGTTAATTTAAAGTATGATGATACTATATTGATCATAATTAATCAAAATTATATAGGGAATTAAATTACACAACTAGCTATAATAAAATTCTAAATAACAAATTGTTTTGGTTGTAGCTAAATACTCTTTGAAACGCAAAGCGCGCACACAACAAACAAATTGCACTTTTAATCTTTTGCTAGCTCACTTGATCCGTTCATGTACAGCAACCCAAACTCAAGTTAGGAAGATTCAACTCGAGTTAACGCATCACTAATCGATCTGAGATCGATTACTTGAATTATTGTTGTAGCTGTTACTTGTTGGAATGTTGATATTTTGTATTTTTTATTATTGTTTCGTAGATAGAGGATTGACTAGATAAAGCATTCGCGTATGTTTTGAGATAGAAATAGGCGGGAGGTACTTTCACTGGGTTACCAGATATTGTTCCATTTCCCCCGTTATGGGTTTATTTATATTCACAGCACTTACATTCATACAAAAAACTTAATTGTTACCATAAAAAAAGTTCTTATATAATTCAGATGATTAATTAATTTCTCTTGAAAATACATTCTGTGACAAAAACTACTGGCGGAAACGGCGTAAAAACAGAATCATCATTCTGTATTCAACGGCGCATCGACGATTTTACTGGACATTCAATAAACTCTTTGGATTTCGACGATCAGCGACGAGCATTGTCCTGATAACAGCTAAATAATGGTTGACAACCCGCTTTCCAAGCGTTGAAACTATGCCAAATAACTATAATCATGTTTATGTTCAACAGTGGACTTTTGATAGACTGTAAAGATATATATTCTATTTAAATGAAAATATATTGAAATTTAAAAAGGAAAAAGAACTAAATTTTGCGTACTTACACAACTTTTAGAAATATTAACAATGTTACATAAAGTAAAACAAATGAAAACACAATTATATATTAAATATAATTCAATAAAATTAAAATAAACAAACGATTATTTATTAATTTTTCAACACATTAATAAACAACAAATTTAACAAAATTTTTGTCTTCTTTCTAGAGCATTCGTTGTAATGCTTGGTTTGAGTAGCCTTAGAATTTCTCAAAAATATGCATTTGTAAACTTGATTTATACCTTTGCATGGCAGAAATTCTTGGGTGCTGGTCGTTAGAATCAGATTAGGAGTGTATATATATATATATATATATATATATATATATTATTTGCCTTGTATGCAATATATTTTAATGGTATAAATAATAAGGTACAACTCCTAAACTATACTTAGATAGGTAATACTTATCTCTTATTTCTTAATTTATTTACACATTAATGTTTATAACACCTTTATAAAAGGGATTAAGGGTGGACTAAATGTCCCATTGGTAGGCATTCCCAGTCAGTTTTACAATTATTATTGCATAATAAATTATTAATTTGTATATTTAGGTCAGGATTTTAAATTGCTTATTTATTTATTTTATTTAAATCTTTATTTGCATAAAACATGGTAGTACAGATAAAGTTCCAATATTTGTAAATGAGGATTCATGTTTAATCAATACATCTACAAATAAATATTTTGTCTTTGTCATGCCCCCAATTATTACAAGTCATAATAATACAGAATGTCAGCATTTGAAAATAAAATAAGCAATGCTAGTCAATTTTTAATACATACAGAACAATGTCAAAAATCATAACTACCAACAAGATCAAACTTATATCACTTATGGAGAAACAACAAGATACAACAAGAAATTATAACATTTAAAAAATTATCTTAATTATATTATAAATTACATAAGTTAAGCATATTTAGTCCACCTAAAACAATGAGGCTTAAAATGTTTTGAGCATACACTGCTAAGTTTTGTTGGTTACCTATAAGCACTACCAGTAGCGATTATCCAACTGTTACTGATAGCTGATTCCTTAGGAAAGTTGTGAAATAATATATTTAAAATAAATTAATATATTAAATATATAGTACACTTTTATATCAAGGTATTTAACAAAAGAAAAATCAAGTATGTGTATCTGTGCATAAACACAATACCTATAACAATTAAAACAATATCAACTGATTTATTTAAATAGCAAGTATATGTAAATGTAATGATAATATTATTCATACCAAACATTTAAAAAAATTATGTACATATTAAGATTTAGATATTGTTAATTAATACATTTACAGCCTAACAAATGTCCTCCACTGCTGAACATAGACCTCCCATACAGTTTGTCTCCAAATAACTGCAGTTGCCAATTCTCCTGCCAAGCTAGGCAACTATCACAAAACCTATAACTTTTGATACTGACTAATGGTAATGGTAAGTATATTATCATCAAATTTTTTCTACATCATTAATTGAGAATATTATCTTATGTTGTTGTGTTATTGTGTACCTTAAGATTAAGACTTATTTATTATTTTATCTATATTTATATCTATTTTTATATTAGCATGACATTTTTTGAATAAATATTGTAATGTAATTGTTGCTAATCTATAATAGAATGAATGGAATGCAATAAAGTTTTGTGCATCTGATTTCAAGCAATACATATTTTGTGAAATTAAATATACTTTGCCCAATATTTATGTACTTGAATCCAAACATGTTTTCAGCTTGATACTTACATATTATTTGTGAAGTCTATGTAATATAGAAAATGATTGAAGAGTTGTAGGGCAATAAGGACTTTCCTTTAAAGCTGAACATAAAAGTGTATACATATAACATTATGTGATTCATATTTATGGATATAACTACTAATCACAATAAATATTATTATTGAACAATGCGAAACCTTTATTGTACTCGCTGATATCCCTAAAGTTTCTATAATCCTACCAAATCAAAAAGTACACGTTTGTTATGACTTTAAGCTTTCGAATGACCGTTCAAATTAAGGAGCATTATCGTGAAAAATTTACAATTTGGGAATCTAAATATTTGACAAAATACATCACAAAGTTCATTAAAAACATGATATGTTACACTTTATATTCAAAACAATAGATATTAATCAGTACAAATAGCAAATGTAAGCACAAAACAAACTTACCGATGAAAGGTAATATTATCAATTTTTCGTTGACTGATGCTGTTGCATCCTAAAATGCTTACCATCTTTTTCACCTTACCTAATAAATAAGATCCACAAAAAACACTAAATTCAATTACCTGTTTGCTTATAATATCAATATTATTCAAAAGAGCTTGACATCGTTAATGTCAAATAAAGGAGGGAAAACAATCAAAAACGCATAGGTACCTAGAAAACATAGATTACCCCCTAATAGATTCCGCATACAGGGCCACAAACGCGCGCAACACATACTTGCTGTAGCTAGCATACGAAGTGACGCTAAGAATCACGACATCAGTATCGACCAAGTTTGTGATCCGTAGGCACGTCCGAGTTCTTGACAATTTAAAAATAGTTTTAAATCCAAAATACATTACAAATGGCTTCCTGTGCAGTAAAATGGTGTGACAAGTCAGCTAAGACATCCAGTTATCAAAAATATGGCATAAATTTTAATCGGTAAGTAAATTCCATTCTTATCACGTTAACCTATTTCAAATGCACCGGAGATCAACTTATACTGGTATTATAATGGTGCAAAGTGATAACAATTAAGCACCCGTTGATGTCTTTTTGAAATGTCCCTTTCACTCGTTACGTAAATTACAATAGTTATCTTTGTCTAACAACAGCACGTGTATCGAAAGTGTTGTGATTTTTAAATCGATATTTGTTTGGTCATTGTTTAATTATCTTTTTCGAAGTCATATTATTTTATAAAAATAGTGACGTATCATTGTGGTACCTATTATATTATAGGTTTCCTAAATGCTTCGAAAGGAAAAAAGATGTAGATCTACGCAACTTGTCGAGGGGACGAATGATTTCCCACCAAAACTAGTGTACTATGCTCAAATCACTTCACAGAAGACAATCTTCATAATATTATGAAAAACCGTATAAGGCTGTTGGACTCCGCTGTACCATCTCTAATCTTGCCAGTTTTAGTATGGACTTTTGCATATTTTTAAAAGATTAGTACTAACGTAGATTACACAATAATATCATTAAGTGGTTGAGTGAAACATGATATTCTTATATTTAGGTGAATGTTACACGTCGAAATCAAGCTATTTTTAACGGATTTATAAATCATAAAACATGTAAAAGTTATAATGTGATTATTGTTTTGACTTGGTATTTAGTGTTACAT